GGAGGACAGTGCGCGCCGCGGCGTTCTGCGCCCAGTGGACGGACGGGTGGCACCAGGGACAGCCTCTGACCCACCCGGTGCCAGGCGCCCTGCAGTCAAGGCCCCGTTTTCGCCCGCTAGCTTGGCTTTGCCCCGCCGACGATGTCCAAGTGGAGCTGGAATGATCGTGGCTGGCGTCCCTGATTCCAAAGCACCTCCTGCCAGCTAGCCGTTCCCGGAAGCCTGGGGTGTCCTGTGTGCCCAGCAGAGAGCCAAGCCCTCACCCATGAGGTGGGGAAGGTGACCCCGTTTGCAGCCAGCGGAGTTCACAAGAGGTTTGCTCACGATCAACCAGGCAGTGGGCGTCAGAGGCAGAGCCTGACTCAGATCCCAAGGACCCTGCATTCTGAGCCCTTTCCCCTCCAGGGGTGGTGGTTGGGAACCCTTGAAGCCAGGAGAAGGTCCCTTCTGGCTGTTGAGAGTCGATGACAGGCAAGGTGTGGACAAAATGACCTCTCAGGGTCTGAGGAATGCATAGTTCTGGGAGGTCAGTGAGCAGCTGCCTACTTGTTTCCTGGTTCTCCTGGCCCTCCCCACCTGGACCCCCTTTCCTCACCTCTTCCACCCTGACTCGCCCCTACAGCCCTGTGTGATCCTCCCTGGTGCTCTGCTTCCTGCTCCTCGCAGTTTCTGGAGGCCCCTCCACCTCCCCACCTTGACCTCCACTCTGCACACAGCTCAGCGCAATACCTGAGCACCCTTCCATGTGTGTGTGTGTGTGTGTGTGTGAAAGAGAGAGAGAGAGAGGAGAGAAGGGGTGCTGCATCTTCTCCTGCCAACCTGCTCTTCATCCTATTGCCTCAACCCCCGCATCCTAGAGTCTGACTCCACTCCATTCTCTCCCCTCCTCCCCACCCCCCCTCCATTTCTGCTCTAACGCAGGCTGCCATCACCTCCCACCCACTCCCCCAAATCCGCCCTCCACACTGCCACCAGAGTCATCCTTCTGACGTGCACATCTGGCCGCTGCTTAAAACTCAGCCCAAAAAACAAACCCCCAATCTAATCAAAAGGTGCGCAAGCCCCAAGCACTTGACCAGGCCCACGCAGCTCTGCTCCCTCTAGCCCTGGCCTGTCCCTTTTGGGTCCCTCTCCCCATTCATTGCAGGACAAGGAGGCATTGGGCAGCCTTGGAGCTGAGCAGAGAGCCTCGGGCTGCTAAGACCCCAAGAGCAGGCAGAGAGCCCAGTGCCTCCAGGAGGGGAAGAAGCTGAGGTGAATGAACAGAAATGTCACATCTACATGCAGGTTTCCCCCCGGCCCCTCCACCTCTCTCTGTCTCTCTCTCAGAACTGCACTTCTTCATCTCACTTACCAGCCTCTCATGGCTTGTTTTCCTGAGCTTATTTACTCCATCTCTCTCTCTCCTGCAGCCCAAATTCTCCACCAGAATCAGGACCGCAGCTCTCCCATCCACAGCCGGACCCCACCCCATCTTAGGGCCGGATGGACATAAAAGTGGACACTTGATCACTATTTGTGGAACAAATGGGCCTTTCATCTTGTCCTCATCAGAAGCCCACACTCCAGGACCTTCCTTCATCTCTGGTCTTTGCAGGAGAACCGTCCTTTGCCTGGAAGGCTCCTTTCTTCCCCTCCCACCTGGGCTGATCCACGCACCATCTAAAGGCGACATTTCTCTAGATTCGTCCTTGGCCCCTCATTTGAATTAGGGCTTCCCTCCGGGTCCCTCCAGTGCCCCATACATTACATTCCACCATGCCACTTGAAGATGGGCAACCTCTGGGTAAACAGGAGAGATTATGAACAATAATGATCCCCTGTTGCCTCTCCCCCTGGCCCTCGACAAGCCAGCTGGCTCAAGGGCATCCACTCTCTGTCTTTCAAGCCACCAGGAACCCCATTTCCCATTCATTCAATAAGCACTGATCAGGCGCCCACCGCAGTGTTTTCTTTCCCTCAGCCCTGGGAGGAGAGTGAAGGGGGGAAGGGGGGAGGACAGGATTCTTCCAGGGGTGAGACAGAAGGGGGGGACATCAGAGGGGTGGAGCAAAAGCCCCCCTCCCCACCTGTGCAAATGGGCCCTGGCACTTAGCTGAGGGGTGGGGCTAGTTCCTTCTGTTCTGAGTTTCCCTGTGCATCTGCCGTGGGGGCTGAGGGGATGGAGAGGGGGCACCTGAGGAGGCAGACGTGCTTCAACCCCTGCCTCCAGCACAGCCTCTCAAGTTTGGTGCATAAGCGAGGTGGCCCTGTCTGCGGTCTGTGGCCCCTCCCTGGAACAGCGGAGGGACCGAGAGAGACCAGCCCAAACCCCAGAGGCTGCTGTTTGACCTTCCCCTTCCAGGCCTCCCATCCTTGGCCTGTGACCATTTCCTCCTTCCGACATTCCCCACTGCAGGGTTTTATCAAGGTGGGGTCCTTCCATCAGGGCCACCCAGGGCTGGGGCAGGGCTTTTAAGAAATAGCCATTCCTAGGCTTCCATCTAGAACTGAGGCTTTGTGGGGAGGACCCTGGAATCTGCATATTGTGCCCCCTGCCACTGCCTCCTGGTACACTCAAGACTGGGACCCCACTGCTTCTAGGGGCAGTCCTGTATAGGCTTCTTGCCTCTGGCTGCCAGTTTGTCCTTGGGATGGGGGGGGGGCTCTGCTCTTCCTCTGCCCGCCCCTTCCATGCCAGGAAGCCTCCTCCCTCTAAGCCCCCACCACACCTACAACACCCACCACCCTAGGCCAGCTGCCTTCCTGCCCCTGGGTGACCAACAGCATCCAAAGCAGACCCACCACCCTCTCCCCATACCCCTTCCTCCCCTCCCTGTGCTGCTTGCTCAGGATGCCCTAGTGGCACAGTGGGTTACACCTTAGGCTGCTCCCCTCAAGGTCAGCAGTTCCAACCCACTAGCCTCTCCTCAGGAGAAAGATGAGTCTTTCTCCGCCTGTAAAGAATGACAGCCTAGGAAGCCCACAGGGGTTGGTTCCACTTTGTCCTGTAGGGCAGAGGTGAGTCACAATGGCGGAGGGCGGCCAGTTAGGTCAGAAACCCAGGGCTCCTGCTCGACTCCCCTACCGCTCTCCTCCCTCCTCTCAGCAGAGTCTGGATCATTTTGCTTCTTACAGAGGTCTTCAACCCCACCACCACCCCTGCCTGCCCCCCAGGCTAATTGGCACCCTCCCTCTCCTGTTCCCTCCTCAAGCAAAACAGACAGCACCAACCCCCCACTGCCGTTCTGCTACCAACAGAGCTGCCCCGTGGGATCTGCTGGGGGGTGGGGGGGTGGGGCCAGGTGTACACCAGGCTTTTCTTCTGCAGGTCACTGGGTGGGCTCAGACTGCCAGGCTCATAGCCTGGAGCAAGCTGTTTGTGCTGCCCAGGGGTCTTCCCGAGCCAAATTAAATGTCTCAAAGCTTTAAAACATGCAAATCTTACTGTAATGACCAACTCTTTGAAAAGCCTTTAAAGCAGCAGTTCTCAACCTGGGGGTCCAACGACCCTTTCACAGGGGTCGCCCGATTCATAACAGTAGCAAAATTATAGTTATGAAATAGCAACGACAATAATGTTATGGTTGGGGGGGGGTGTCACCACAACATGAGGAACTGTATTAAAGGGTCGAGGCATTAGGAAGGTGGAGAACCACTGCTTTAAAGGTCCTTAGTCAACAAAGGTTCAAACCCTTTGCCCCTTCACTGCCTGGTCCCAGCCTCCAAGTCCAGCCTCCCACTGTGTTTCCCTGTCCAGCCTCTAGACTTTTGATGGCCTGTGCCCCTGTGCCCCCACCAGGAATAGCCCGTGCCAGGCTCCCCCTTGTGAGCAGGCCTCACCTTCTCCAGGAAGCCCTCCCCACCCTCTGGCCCTGCCTCTCAGGTGTAGCTGTCATGCCCTGAACAAGAATCTGTTATTCTACTCACCACACTATTATAATTATCGATTTTTCTGTCTCTGCCCTGCACTGGCCAAGGAGGTTCTAGAGCCCAGGGACGGTGTTTCATTCATCTCCACGACCCAGCCCCTGGCCTGGTGCCTGGCGTGGAGGGCCAGGGCTTGATGGATAGATGTGGAGGGCCGAGGGAAGGAGGTAAGAGCCGGGAATGATCAGAGGAGAGTGAGGGCAGGCCAGGCAGGAGAAGCCGCCAGAGCTATGTGTGGGAAGTGGCAAGGCGAGAACTCTTATTTGCTGCACTCCTACCACTGCCCGCCAGCCCTGGGCTCCGCTGTGTTTGCGCATGGTCTCATCTCAGCCTCCCCACAGCAGATCGGGACACTGGCATCAGAGAGCCGCCGCCACCTGTCCAAGGTCACACAGCTAGAGGCCTGGAGTGGAGACCAGGCCTGCAGTCTTCTCCCCGCCAGCGCCGGGCCACACTGCTCTCCTGGGAACAGGGCCTTCTGGAGGTGGACAAGGAGCACACCCAGCTCCGCCTCTGCCTTGCTGAGCACCGGAACCAGCTGCCCACACGCAGGCAGCTTCTTCCTCTCTGGCAACCAGGGGCTGGGAGGCTGGACAGGGATGTACCTGTTCTGTCCTCCCCAGGCTTTGAGGGTCCTTGACGAGGCATGCCTTCCCCACCCCCACCCCACCAACCAGCAAAGGGCCTTGGAGCCTAGGGGGAGCTGGGAGGGGGAATCTGAGGGAGGGGGCAGTCCGAGCTTGGTGCTGTTGTCTGGCTTCTGCAGGATCTGTGTCTCCCTCCTGCTATTTGGCCCAGGCTGATATTCAGATTCATCTGCATTCCCCTCGCACCGGCCTGGCAGATGGTGGGGGAGGAGGCTGGGTGCATGCTGGGGGCTGCAGCCAGGGACAAAATTGGGCCTTGGAGGGCCACCACCAAGTGACCACCCCCTGGGGGCCACTGCAAATGCTGGGGTACTTCTCACCACAACAGCCTCCCAAAGGTGCTAGGAGCTGACCTTCGGGGTTTCCTAAGGACCACAGGGACCTGGGATTGCAGGGAGGAGGCCTGAGACAAGGGCGCTAGGGACAGGGGACATGCAGGCCCCCCTCCGTAATCTCAGAGCAGGACCTTGTTCTGCCCAGCGCCAGAGGTTTGCAGGGACCGCCATGGGGCAGGAGCCCCATCTCCCAGCCTGGCTACCCACTAGGCCACAAGGAGGGGTGAGGGGTGAATAAGGAGGGGACAACCTTCACAGAGTCCTTGGTCACCTTCCCCAGTTTCTCAGGTCCCAGCCAAGAACCCCGTCTGGCCCGCCCCGGCTCCCAGGGCCACCAGAGGAAAGAGGAGAGGCTGAAGAAAGCCCAGAGCTTGTCACAATATTGGAGGAAGACTACTGGCATTGGAGGGGAGGGGGGCGGGGAATCACTAGTAGCTCCTCTGAGCAAGGAGGAAAGGAAAGGAGCTCCATTATAGCAAATGGAGTGCAGGCTAGACACCTAGAAGAACTTCCCTCAGCACAGAACAGGGTCCTGCTGAGAGAGTGGCTTTATGCTGTGCAGATGGCTTAGTCTGACAATTGGGAAGACGTTCTTTTGGGGGGAAAGGACCTTTCCAAATCCCTGGGCTCCAGGGGACGGGGTCGGGGGGTGGGCAGCATATTCCTGAGCCCCCCTCCGAGGGAACAGGCGCCCTGCCAGAGGGGTGGAGAAGGTAGGGTCCTTCCCCCGCCCCCTCTCCATCTCTTCTCGGCCTCAAGAGAGTTACTCTGTGGCCGCACCCTGCGCGCTGGGGGCTTGAGAAGGAGCGGCCCAGGTCCCCAGGCTGCGGGCCGG